GGGTAGTAGAGGAGTCTCCCAACATTTACTGCCTTAATAAATAGGTACCTTGGGGTTAGTCAACCCCAAGGTAACTATTTATTAAGGCATCCTTGGGAAAAGGACTGGGAGACCCCAATAGAAATAGGACTCACTGATTGGGTTTTGTAGTTTATCCACGGTTACTAACACTTCTTGAGTTAATAATGAGAATAAGATGTTCTGTGAGATACTGGCTGTCGTCTTCCGTTAGGGAAAAGTAGCTGGGGTGTTTAGTGTTTGGGAAAGAGAGGAGAGAGTAGATGGTTGGGGTCACTGTTTGGGAGTTGGTGGGAAGAGCAATTATTGCCATCTATTGTTCATTTTAAATCATGGTAATGGTAAGAAAGAAAAACTTCTCAGATGTACTGGCAACAAGAATAGTAAAAATGTGCAAGTGAGATTCTTCTTTCACTCTCGTGTTGTACTGGAGGTGGGAACACTGTGTCTGTATTCGGTAAACAGCTGAAGGGAATTGCATATAAAATTACATGTATACGATCTCTAAATGTTTTCCAGTTGTTATCACCTAGTTATATTCGCCTAATGAGCTCCGAACTGCTGAATCATCTTATTGTACTCACCTAGTTGTATTCCCCTAGTTGTACTCACCTAGTTGTATTCCCCTAGTTGTACTCACCTAGTTGTATTCCCCTAGTTGTACTCACCTTGTGGTTACGATCTTTGATTCTCAGCTAGTGGAGCTGACCATCAGCCACTAATGAACAATCACTATATCCACGGCCTCATAAGGATTATAATACCTAATCTTAAACTTTCGCAAAAAGTTTAATTTGATCACTTCCTCAACTAAGTCGCTCCAATTCCTCTGACGCATTTGTGTCAATAGTTTCCGTATGACGCATTGTTCTTAGCTCACTCCTTTCAGTCTGCTTTTGTTTGCCCTAACGAGTCTTTTGGGTATTTGTTACTATGTGGTTAGGTCCTCCTTAGTTTAATTCTTTTCTAGTATTGTAGTTTATTGTCTTAGGGTCTCTTATCTTAGGCATACTACTTCCAAATTAATCTGTCAGCTATTTTCTTAAGTTGATCTGGATATGTATGCTAGAGTGTGGGTTCCGTGGTGGAGCTGCATACTGTATGGCAAGTATGACGTTCTTTATATATAGGATCCTGAACGACTCTTTGTCTCCTTAACTGAATGCCATTCTTAGTTCGCCAGCTGTGTACATGTCAACAATGTTATTTAACTGATGTGCACCTACGGGGATACTCCTGTCGTTATGCCTAACCCAAACTCATTTTCCTTGTATAAGGTTCGCAGCCTTGCCTGTATTCAGTGTCTGATATTCATTCTCCTTTCTTGATTTTTAAAACTTTAGTGAGATTAAAGTACGGTTGTCATTTTTGCGACTGACAATGCAGTTTGTCCAAGTCACACTGTATCCTTTCACTATCAACTCCGGTTATGATTAGTTAGGTTACAGTCACTGAACAATACCAGGAATGTATTCCCATATCCCATACGTCCAGCCAGCTTTACTTAAATGCACGCAAAATTTATGCAGGCACACATTCTCATCAGTAATTTGGAATCATCCACAAACAATGATGAATATGACCATGTCTCTTCAGGCATGTCACTCACATATAGAAGCAACAATACTGGTTCCAGTGCCAGTATCCTGTGTGTGTGTGTGTGTCTTTACCTAATTGTGGCTGCAGGGATCGATTCATAGCTCCTGGCCCCTACTTCTTCACTGGTCACTAGTAGGTCCACTCTCTCCTCCATGAGCCTTATCATACCTTTTCTTAAAGATATGTATGGTTCCTGCCTCCACTACATCACTTTCCAGACTGTTCCACTTCCATGTGTGTGTGTAGTTATGTATCTCTAATTACCTTAATTAGATCAAGCCTGGGGACTCAGAGGTAATAAACCTTGATCCAAGGGGAAGGTATCAACAATTCTTTTGATCAAGAGCACTCACCAGTATGAAGGAAACCAGTAAAGTGTATTAAAATAACGTAATTATTATCATTATGAGAAAAATATAGAGCATTAGAAAAGAGGGGCAATTAGGTTTGATCCGAGGAAGGGAAGTGTAGCGGTAATTCTTTAGCATAATCTGACACGAAAGTTGTACTCGAAGGAAACCTCTGAGGTTGTTAACCCGTTAATGGAATACTTGACGATAACCTCATTGACCTGGTGAAGTCTCCCAACTCAGGCTGACACTAGTGAAGTCTCCCAGCTCAGGCTGACACTAGTGAAGTCTCCCAGCTCAGACTGACACTAGTGAAGTCTCCCAGCTCAGGCTGACACTACTGAAGTCTCCCAGCTCAGGCTGACACTAGTGAAGTCTCCCAGCTCAGACTGACACTAGTGAAGTCTCCCAGCTCAGGCTGACACTAGTGAAGTCTCCCAGCTCAGGCTGACACTAGTGAAGTCTCCCAGCTCAGCCTGACACTACTAAAGTCTCCCAGCTCAGGCTGACACTACTGAAGTCTCCCAGCTCAGGCTGACACTAGTGAAGTCTCCCAGCTCAGGCTGACACTAGTGAAGTCTCCCAGCTCAGGCTGACACTAGTGAAGTCTCCCAGCTCAGGCTGACACTAGTGAAGTCTCCCAGCTCAGGCTGACACTACTAAAGTCTCCCAGCTCAGGCTGACACTACTGAAGTCTCCCAGCTCAGGCTGACACTAGTGAAGTCTCCCAACTCAGGCTGACAATAGTGAAGTCTCCCGGCTCAGGCTGACACTAATGAAGTCTCCCAGCTCAGACTGACACTAGTGAAGTCTCCCAGCTCAGGCTGACACTACTAAAGTCTCCCAGCTCAGGCTGACACTAGTGAAGTCTCCCAGCTCAGGCTGACACTAGTGAAGTCTCCCAGCTCAGGCTGACACTAGTGAAGTCTCCCAGCTCAGGCTGACACTACTAAAGTCTCCCAGCTCAGGCTGACACTACTGGTCTCCCAGCTCAGGCTGACACTAGTGAAGTCTCCCAGCTCAGGCTGACACTAGTGAAGTCTCCCAGCTCAGGCTGACACTAGTGAAGTCTCCCAGCTCAGGCTGACACTAGTGAAGTCTCCCAGCTCAGGCTGACACTACTAAAGTCTCCCAGCTCAGGCTGACACTACTGAAGTCTCCCAGCTCAGGCTGACACTAGTGAAGTCTCCCAACTCAGGCTGACAATAGTGAAGTCTCCCGGCTCAGGCTGACACTAGTGAAGTCTCCCAGCTCAGGATGACATTAGTGAAGTCTCCCAGCTCAGGCTGACACTAGTGAAGTCTCCCAGCTCAGGCTGACACTAGTGAAGTCTCCCAGCTCAGGCTGACACTACTGAAGTCTCCCAGCTCAGGCTGACACTACTGAAGTCTCCCAGCTCAGGCTGACACTACTGAAGTCTCCCAGCTCAGACTGACACTACTGAAGTCTCCCAGCTCAGGCTGACACTAGTGAAGTCTCCCAGTCAGAACTGACACTAGTGAACTTCATAAACTCAGGTGACACTACTGAAGTCTCCCAGCTCAGCTGGACACTACTGAAGTCTCCCAGCTCAGGCTGACACTACTGAAGTCTCCCAGCTCAGGCTGACACTAGTGAAGTCTCCCAGCTCAGACTGACACTAGTGAACTCTCATAACTCAGGCTGACACTACTGAAGTCTCCCAGCTCAGACTGACACTACTGAAGTCTCCCAGCTCAGGCTGACACTACTGAAATCTCCCAGCTCAGGCTGACACTACTGAAGTCTCCCAGCTCAGGCTGACACTACTGAAGTCTCCCAGCTCAGACTGACACTACTGAAGTCTCCCAGCTCAGGCTGACACTAGTGAAGTCTCCCAGCTCAGACTGACACTAGTGAACTCTCATAACTCAGGCTGACACTACTGAAGTCTCCCAGCTCAGACTGACACTACTGAAGTCTCCCAGCTCAGGCTGACACTACTGAAATCTCCCAGCTCAGGCTGACACTACTGAAGTCTCCCAGCTCAGGCTGACACTACTGAAATCTCCCCGCTCAGGCTGACAGTACAGAAGTTTCCCAGCTCAGGCTGACACTACTGAAGTCTCCCAGCTCAGACTGACACTACTGAAGTCTCCCAGCTCAGACTGACACTACTGAAGTCTCCCAGCTCAGGCTGACACTACTGAAGTCTCCCAACTCAGACTGACACTACTGAAGTCTCCCAGCTCAGGCTGACACTACTGAAGTTTCCCAGCTCAGACTGACACTACTGAAGTCTCCCAGCTCAGACTGACACTACTGAAGTCTCCCAGCTCAGGCTGACACTACTGAAGTCTCCCAACTCAGACTGACACTACTGAAGTCTCCCAGCTCAGGCTGACACTACTGAAGTCTCCCAGCTCAGGCTGACACTACTGAAGTCTCCCAGCTCAGACTGACACTACTGAAGTCTCCCAGCTCAGACTGACACTACTGAAGTCTCCCAGCTCAGACTGACACTACTGAAGTCTCCCAGCTCAGACTGACACTACTGAAGTCTCCCAGCTCAGGCTGACACTACTGAAGTCTCCCAACTCAGGCTGGCACACTTCAGCAATATGTATGTGATCCATTTTGTGATGGGATGTGAAAGAGGAAACACGTTATTGTTCCCACTTTGTAACTATCTTATAAGTTAATAGCACACTACTGATACAATCATTTTTAAAAATAAGGAGTCGAAATATATAGCATTCTTCATGTTCTATTTTTTTCTAATACGAGTTGTTACGTTGAATTACCCACACGTGTTTAGTGCTTCAAATATTAATAACAATAATTCGCGAAATCGTAATTACACGATGTAAACAACTCACTAAACGGCCAGCCATTCCTAACTCTAATAGGCTATATTAATTGGATGAATCTTGTTAGGCCGGCTTGGCAAAGTGGATAATGCACTGGCCTACTAGTTTTAGAGAATAGTAAGAATTTCAGTGAGAATAATAACAATAATGGTCCATGATCCAAGTGTGGTTGGTTTGTGACATAGCAGGGGATGTATAAACTTACTATTGACTAGAGGAAACAACCTGGGGAACTTAGACGCCCGCCCACATCCATAAACCTGCAACAGGCCTGCTGGAACGTGGAACCAGAGCTCACGTGCAACCAGTGCTTGAGACACAGGCTGATACAGACAGACTAGCCACCCCAGGCGGCCTCTCGTGTTATATACTGCCTTACAGGGGCTTCTCTCATCCCCTTAGCTTACACCACCTGGAAGCAAAAGCAGGGACGCCGCACCCACAAGGTCTCCAATACCGCCATAACGGGAGGTACTGAGCCCAGAGGAGCGGAAAGACGTGTGGACGATGTCTGGAAGTTTCACTACCGGGAACACAATCAGAAACATAAGGCCACTGTGTAGACAAGACAGAAACTGCTGGGAACACAGGAAGGAACACCATGGAGGTCTAATTAGCACGAAGGTATATAATACAGAAAGTTGATGAATAAGATGGACGTTTGTTTCCATCAACTAGTTTGTATTATACATCTTTAATTATACTTGTCAGACACAGTAACCTCATGTAATCTTGGTACAGAGAATACGAAAGCATAGGAATGGAGGAACACTGCAGCAAGGCTACTGGCCTTTTCAAGAGCCTCGGACAAGAGTAACCACTACTGCCTCATCGCTCTTCATACCTGACCTACTTCCAGTAGCAGACTCCGCCCACACGTAACCACAACTACACCTGCATCACTCCACTTGTTCCACTTCATTACCTACAGGTGTCGTTTTCATTTATCCGTAATAAAGCATCATTATTATGCTTTAGTGACTAAACCCACGAGGGTCATTCAGCTCAAGGAATCCGCTAAATTTCCAACCAGCTAGGTTAGATGAGAAAATCTGTATTGAAGAGGTCACCACAACACACCAAGGCACCTTCGTCAGCACCGGACAGGTTATCACAGCATCAAAATCCGTGCCATGGCGCTCTGTCTGACGTATGTATATGTACATATGTATGCAAATCCAATTTCTAGGATCAAGTGCTCCTCACTAGTATCAAGGACCCTCGCTTGAGGGGATGAAAGCTGAAAAATTGAAGGCCAAATTCGGACAATCTTGAAATATTAATGTCAAAATCTAAAAATATGAAGGCAGAAACCTAGGTCTTGACTTGTTGTCACTTTCCTCTGCACAACAGCCTCGAGTCACTTCCTGTACGCACTCTTCACAAATTCGCTTAATCCTCTCGACATCACATTGTTTGGAAATTTGTATACGTACTGCCCCTTCGTAAGCTGCAAAAGTTAGGAAGCGCTGCTGGCGCAGGAGCCCCGAGTTAATTCTCCCAAGCTTACAAATGGCTCTTGCAATAAATTTCCAATTACTGCTGATGACGTGAGAATGTACAAAACGTCGAGTTAATTTACTTGGTGGTAAGGAGCTCGATGTTCCCTGACCTTCTGAACACCACATACGGAGACGAACTTCACTCCGAGTGCCGACTTGCACTCTCCCAGATTAACTACCTCCTTTTCCCTAGTGTCGGCCGACTATGTTGCTAGGAATTGTAGACTTCACCTCACTGGGGATGTGTCTGATAGAGACGAGTATCCTATACTTTGGCTGTGCACTCGTGTCACGTCCACTCTGGGACATGATTGAGTAGCAACTAGTCTCGCTAGTGTTTCTTAACTGACTTTATTCGAATTTTGAACTGCCAGTTCTCTAATTCTACTCTAGTAAACCTAATCCTACCTATTTTAGGTCCTAAAACTGTATTAATAATTCCTACATTATTTTACTACTTTGTGTATCTACGTAACTCTTCCTAGAAGGATAAATATTATGTACAACTGTTACGTAAGTGGGTATATTTAAGGACTCTTAAATCTCAACCTGTAAAACATTTCGTGGAATATTTTGGTAGCCTAAAATAATTTCCACACATTGCAACTCAGCCTTACCTAAATAGTAAACAATTTATATCTCGGAGAAACGAGCGAATATATCCTACAGGTAGAAATTATAGTTATCCCCAAATTTAAGTTCTCATAAATGGTATCCTGAATTTTTTCTTCAGTCTCTTCAGGGTTTTTCTTTGTAACTTGAGAACGCCTCATCCCATCGGCTTAAAATTTTTAACATTGGTATACTGTAATTAGAGAAATTGTCTTACAACTATTGGCATGTGCATGTGACCTCTAGTCAATTTTATATACAGACTAATTGTTTTCTGTGAGAACTTCAGAAAGCCTTTATCGGCTGTAAAATTTTAACACTGGTGTATCCCACTAGACATAAGATCGGGATTGTTTCTGGAGTGTGTTTACCTGGAGATGGTTTCCGGGGGTCAACGCCCCCGCGGTTCGGTCTGCAACTAGGCCTCATGGTGCTACTGTTGGCCACACGCAACCCGACGTACGAACCACAGCCTGGCTGGTCAGGTAATGACTTTAGGTGCCTGTCTAGCGCTTTCTTGAAGACAGCCAGGGGTCTATTGGTAATCCCCCTTATGTACGCTGGGAGGCAGTTGAACAGTCTTGGGCCCCTGACATTTATTGTGTTCTTTTATCGTGCTAGTGATTATTATTATTATTATAATCAAAAAGAAGCGCTAAGCCACAAGGACTATACAGCGTCGTGCTAGTGACACCCCTGCTTTTCACTGGGCGGATGTTGCATCGTCTGCCGAGTTTTTTGCTTTCATAGGGAGCGATTTTTGTGTGCAAGTTTGGTACTAATCCCTCTAGGATTTTCGAAGTGTATATAACTGTACCTCTCCAGCCTGCGTTCCAGGGAGTACAGGTTCAGGAACTTCAAGCGTTCTCAGTAACTTTAGCGTTTTATCTCCGTTATGCGCGCCGTGAAGGTTCTCCGTACATTTTCTAGGTTAGCAATTTCACCTGCCTTGAAAGGTGCTGTTAGTGTGCAGTAATATTCCAACCTAGAACAATCGACTTAAAGATTGCCATCATGGGCTTGGCATCCATAGTTTTGAAGGTTCTCATTATCCATCCTGTCATTTTTCTAGCAGATGCGATTGATACAGTGTTATGGTCTTTGAAGGGGAGATCCTCTGACATGATCACTCTCAGGTCTTACAATAATTTTTCGCTCTATTGTTTGGTTGGAATTTGTTTTATACTCCGATAGTTTTAATTTCCTCACTTTTTCCATAACGGAGTAGTTGTAATTTCTCATCATTGAACTTCATGTTGTTTTCTGCGGCCCATTTAAAGGTGTCAATTTGATCATTTTATTTTTAAAATGGCCGTTTTTTCATGAAATAACTTAGGGTATAAGGCACCTTAAACTAAACCTTTGTTATTACTGTCTTAAGCTAACGGTGTGCAATCCATCACGTGTGACAACTGGATATTTCCACCGGCATTTTTATTATTATTATTATAATCAAGGGGGAAGCGCTAAACTCGGAGGATTATACAGCGCCTGGGAGGGGGATGTGGAAGGCATTCAGGCTTAATTCGGGGAACTGGAGCACAGATCCAATTTCCTAAATCAAGAGCCCCTCACCAACATCAAGGAACCTTCCTTGAGGGGTTTCCACCGGCAAACACCGTCATAGTATCATCATCCTGATCTGTCTGGGGGAAATGAGCGCGCCTTGGTAACGTCTTACAAGTTAGAAGAGTTTCCCTTTTCCTTCCTTGGTGAAAGCAAAGTCCTCCACAGGCCGGGATTAAGGGATAACTTACTGGGATAACTTACTGGGATCGCGCAGCCACCGTAACATACATAATTGTTGGTAGTCTCATGAAACTTTATATATTCACAATACGCTAGCTTATTATTAGCGGGGCGAGCACAAAACCCGTAGGGATCATATAATTCTTATAGTTAGAAGATTAAGAAGTATGAAAATGTTACCTGGTGGTCTCTAGTGACACTGTCAGGACCAGGAAGACTGCGGTCTGTGAGGGGTAACCCATGATCAGTTGGTAACATTTTAACATTATTATATTTAAATAAATCATGGTGGACGTCTTTCTTATTTTCTTGGGTCATCCTTCCTTGGTGGGAAGCGGCTTATGTGGGGAACGAAAATATTAAAATAATTTTTCTAGGGAAATAGGCACTTCTGTTGGATGTTTCGGTGTTCTAAGTGTCTACATTCACTTGAGATACTCGCTGAAGACGTTTAGGTGTTCTAAGTGAACTTTCATTGAAGAGGTTTAGGTGTCCTAAGAAGTTTCACTGGAGACGTTTAGGTGTCCTAAGTGAACTTTCACTGACGTTGACCATATGTGTTACTTGATGTGGGTTGATAATGAGGTTTAAAGTCTATCAACTACACTAGGGTCATTAAGGCTGCAATGTAACCTTTTCATCATCAGATAAAAATACTTTAATCCCTAAGATAGAAATTAAGTAAATTTCTCAGCATATATAAACTGTAACACTTTTGGTGTATATATATCATTTGGAATTTTAATTGACAGGTCGTCTAGAAATGGTGCATTATAGGCTTTGCTCAGTGCGAGTTACTTAGGGTATACTTAAACATAACCTGCTGTGTTGAACGTGTTGACGTCTCCAGACGTAATCCCAGCTCGGCAGCTCTTATACCATATCTGCTTTTTCTCTTCTCTATACCAGCTCTGCAGTTTTTCTATACCAGCCTTTGCAGTTTCTCTTTTCTCTTTTTTTCCCATTCCTCTATTCCTATCCGATAGTATTATATCCATGGGGAAGTTAAAATCGTAGGAGTTACGAAAAGGGGGGATATGATTGATCCGAAAGGGGGTGCAAATCTTCTTTAAAGTCCTTCAGGAAAGACCAGATGGGGAAATCTGTAACAGGTTGACCTTGAATTATATATATTTATATATATTATAAATATATATATATATATATATATAATAAAAATTTATATATTATATATATATATTATAATATATATATATATATATATATATATATATATATATATATATATAATATATATAAATATATAATATATATATATATTATATATATATATACTATATATATATTATATATAATATATATATATATATATATATATATATATATATATATATATAAAATTTTAATATATTATATATATATATATTATATATATATAGTATATATAATATAATAAATTATATTATATATAATATATATTTATAATAATAAAATAATATATATATATATATATAATATAAAATTATATATA